AGGATGTTACCTTGTGATAGTTAGTCTAAATATTTGATCATTTCTTTCTTCACTTATACTGAACATAGTTTTTTTGGTGACGTATGTGGCCTTTTTGCATTCAGATGCTAGGGTGTGAAACACAGCTGCTAGCTTTCCCACTCACCGACTGTAAACTTCTAGCATAGATCTGTATAACTGATTTATATCGAGAAGTATTCGCCTCCTCCACCTTGTTTAAACAAGGTGGATTCAGTTAATATAAAACAGGAGTGAAGATTGACTTTAAAGTCACCCTAGCAACTACTTAGATGACCAAATGCACGAACAAAGATTTTTGCAGAACAAAAAGAGCTCATTTTACTTCACAAACTTTCATAAGCTACAAACAGCTTACAAGTGAAATGAAACATTAGTATTATTGATGACAAAACATACTTTAAGTATGTAGAAGCAAATGAAGATTCAAAATCCAGGATTAGAAGTACGGTAGAGTCGAAATCAATGGGAATTTATACACATCTGATGAGATGAAAAATTATGGAGCTGATTTTAGACCATCAACTTATCGAAATCTAACAAACTGATACTGCTTTTCTCATGCAACAGAGACATAATCCTCAAATTGTCTGCGTTCATCTTCAGACAAATCATGAAGATTATAATTTTTCAGACATATTCCCTTCCAACTCGACAATCCTGAGCTAGTGGTATCGGAACAATTTAAAGTATAACGCTCCAGTGTCTTGAAATTCGGATGAATACGATTTCAACTGAACGCTGTCCAGAAAATGTTTGGATATTCGGCACGAATAATTTAGTCGTCGATCTGGATGATACATGTTCAACAATAGTTGCTAAATGTTGTAATTCACTACAGTGACAGAATTGGAATCAGCTATTCTTTTCCTTGACTTGTTAATTACGAGATGTAACAATGGAACACTAAAAAGATCCATTCACAGAAAATCCATGTGGAACGGACGGCTTACTAATCTCTACAGTTGGGTGCCGGTCTTGAGGGAAAAAACCTCATTTACTCACTCCGCTATTGAGTATGACATATTTGAAGCATAAACTGTGTACAAGTTGAACTTGACATTTTAGGAGGTGCGCATGCGGGGAACGGTTATCCTAGTCGATTTGCTGATAAAATATGCAAGAAAAAAGTATGAAAACAGTCATCAACTCAGTTTCTAAAAAGACTTTGTTCACGAATCACCAGACATTCTGAGAAATCGTCTTTCGAGATCAATTACTACAACTTTTTTTCGCAGCCAAACTTCATTTGACCTTTATTAGCAGTAAATTGATCTGGATATGTATGAATGACAATATCCCTCCACAGACCACATGCATGTGTATCTACCAGTTCACCTACTTCT